CTTACCACCTCATGGTCCCATCACAATGCCTTCCCTGAGTCAAATAAACCATCCTTCCCAGGAGCATTTCTCAGGTATGTTGTCATAGCAACAAAAAAGTAACATGTCCAGCTTTTTGCTTGCTCTTATCTGTGGTTGAAACAGGAAAGCTCAGCATGGTGTACACAGACAGATATAGGACACAGCACGGGGGGCTTCACCCTCCTATTTGTGAAAGGGATACCTGATGCCTGTGGTGGCCTCATCATAGAAGGTTCCACCTTCATGAAGGATGTCTGAATGGCTGGCAAACATCCATCAGCTGGGGGTTAAGGTGGCGATGCTGTGTTCTAAGTATAATCCAGGCCCTGGGTGATGACTGTGGGACCTTCAGGAGCCAATGCCCTGGAGGTCTGGGGAGGAGAAAGATGAAAGTGGGCTGGAGTATGAAGACATGAAGCTATAGCTACCCCAGCCACCATTCTCATTCATTCATTCATTCATTCATTCATTCATTCATTCATTCATTTTTTTCATTCCTTCATTCACCAAGTGCTAAGGGAAGCTCTGAATTCCAGGTATGAATTATTCAACAAAACAAACACTCATGCCTTTGTGGAGTTTATATTCTAAGGGAAGGAGATAAACAACAGAACATGACATGTAAGTCACAGGATCTGGAAAGGTGGTTCAGTTGGTGGAGCACTTGCCTACCAGACTAGGGCTGATCCCTAGTACCACAGAACAAGCAGGGTGTGGCATGCTTGTAATCCCAGCATTTAGGAGGTAGAGGCAGGAGGATCACAATTTCAAGGTCATTCCCAGTTACATAGAACCTTAAGTACTTCAAAAATCAATTTGAGCCTGGTATGCCAGTACATACCTGTCAATCTTGTGGTGTTTGCTTCCTGTTCCTCATTTTAGTATGGCATTTTAGGGTTTCCATTGCTGTGAAGAGACACCACAACCAAGGCAGCTCCCATAAAGGACAACATTTAATTGGGGCTGGCTTACTGGTTCAGAGGTTCAGTTCATTGTCATCATGACAGGAAGCATGGCAGCATGCAGGCAGACATGGTGCTGGAGAAGGAGCTGAGAGTTCTACATTTTGATCCCTGGGCAGCTAGGAGGAGGGTCTCCTCTACACTGGGTGGAGCTAGAGCATAGGCGACCTCAAAGCCCACTCCCACAACGAAGCACTCTAACAAGGCCACACCCACACCAAGGCCACACCCACTCCAACAAGGCCACACCTCCTAATAGTGCCACTTACCATGGACCAAGCATTCAAACCACCACATATATCCATTAATTCATAGGTTTTTGTCTTTTCATAGAGCCCCAAAGATCTAGCATGGTTTTTTTTTGTTGTTGTTGTTTTTGTTGTTTTTTCAAGACAGGGTTTCTCTGTGTAGCCCTGGCTGTCCTGGAACTCACTCTGTAGACCAGGCTGGCCTCGAACTCAGAAATCCGCCTGCCTCTGCCTCCCAAGTGCTGGGATTAAAGGTGTGCGCCACCATTGCCCGGCTTTTGGCATATTTATAATCATTCTTTTTACTTCTTTGTCTGGAATCTCTCCTGTGGGCCATTATGATGGAACTGGTGTTTGGAGGAGAAACATGTCTTGATTTTTAGTGTTTCCTGTGTTTTTACAGGACTTGTGCAACAGGTATTATTGGTAGAATTTTTTTTTCAAACGTTATTTCCCTTTCTTCATTCAGTGGAAAGTGTTCAAGACAATCTAGGTTGTAGTTGGGCGGTGGTATTTACTTTGGTCAGAGTGACATTTAGGGAACCAGGCTCAGTTCCCAGAAGTCCCTGAGAGTTAGAATACTGTCCTCAATGACGGTCACTATCCAGGCAGGCCTTCTATGAGAATCCAGTAATTGTCAACTGGAAAATAACCACCCTTAAGCCCAGTCATTCAGGAAGCAAAGACACTGATAGCTGGAGAATATTGACCACACACACACATACACACACACACACACTGAAAATATGAGTGTAAAGGAAAGAACGGAAGGAAAAAACTGTAAAGAAAGACCCCTGGTCAGTTTTGGTTTGGTACAGAAAAAGTATTGAGTGGAGTGTAAAGCTACATCCCCCTCCTATGAGGGAGAAGATGGAGGAGTTTGGGCTATAGGTAGACTGAAGAGATAGAAAGAAAGAAATGCAACCAAATAATGTGTGGTTCTGTTTTCCCACTTCTTCCCTTGTGTCCAGACACCAATATGCACCAAACAGGGAAGGATAGAGAGGGACAAAGTTCCACAATCCGTGTTTTCCCTTGGTTTGTATGGACTCTGGTACATGCCGGGGGTGAGAGGATGAAGAGAAGTCCGGAATGGGTGGGTCAGCAGAACCCTGGTCTGGCAGTGAATTTTGGGGAGGGAGGAAGTTTCCTCCAGAGATCTCAGTGTTACAGTTCTTTATTTAGATGATGCTCAATAAAACAGCTTCAGTGAATCAGTCTGTGAGCACACACTTTTAGGGTGAACAAAGGGTTATATAGTTTTGGGGGAGGGGGTGAGAATATCCAGGGCGATCACTGGTTGAAAGCTAAGGTACTCAGATGCCGATTAACATAGGGAGGCATTTCAGGAATCACAGGTATAGGACTACATGACATTCCTCAGGTAGGTAATGTGGGGTCCTCGGATCCCCCAGAGAAGAGGAAGCCTTGCGGACAAAAGGAGTCTGCTGTTTTGCACCAAGCTCAAGGCTGTCCAGTATTGTCAGACTTCGTTCGACCTTGGCAGCAGGATTTTCCAACAATAATGTAGAAGAGTTTCCATTTCTCGGGAGGCTGAGCTAAAGCCTCTCCAACTAGGTCAGGGTATGTCCTTTGGGAAAGAGAAAACAGAAAGAAGGTGTAGGGAGACAGACAAGGACCCAGTTGGCCTGCTAAAGTGACACTGGGTGTTAAATGAGTGAGAACTAGATGAGGACTCGAGGGACAGCTGGGTGGCATCCTTGCTCCATGCAGTCTTGAGTCTTGTGAGAAATTCAGGTCTTGGTTTGAACTTAGGATTCACTGCCCTGGGGCTCATTCTGGGAGGATTACATTCAGAGGACACTTGCTGGATTAACATTCAGAGGAAGAAGGGAGAAGTTGATTAACATTCCTCAGACCACAGGGGAGGGAACCCACCTGGGGATGCGAGGGGCCCAGGATGGGAGACGGTCAGGAAGCTGAGCCCTTAATGTGGTAAACTTGGGCAAACTTTTATGACACTCATTGTCATAAAATAAATGTGTGAATCTTAGTCACCTAGAGACCGGACCTGGGAAGGTCAGCCTTTGTGGTCCTTTGTGGTTGCCCTTGTGAACTCTGTATAAGAACTGCTCCCACCTTTTGTTCGGGGGCTCTCTTGCCTGGATGTGAGAAAGTCCCAGTACACTGGTATCATTAAACCTCATGTTATTGCAGCGAGTCCCGTCCGCGTGTGTTTCTGTGGGAGCGCATACCCTGGGTTTGGATCTTAGAGTCCAACAGTCTCACGTCCCTCCCATGATGCCCACAAGCCTGTCTGAGCCTGTTCCCTAGAGATGGGCAATCCTTTTCTCCCATTCTTTCCTCCCAGGCTTCCTTTGGATGACCAGCTCCGGGCGCTAGGCCAGCTCCCATTCTGGTCTGGGTGGAATGGTTGCACGGTCATCTAGAGGCTTATGGTAGAAAATTCTGGTACAAATTGAAACAGGGCTGGCTGAGGCTGGGTCTTTCAGGAGCTCTGGCCACTCTGTGGTTTCCTTAAGGCCTTGGCCAAGTGTTTCAAGTTTGTGCTGACATAAAAGCAGTTGATCTGGTGGACTGGCAGCACCTCTGCTCAAGGCCGGCAGCAAGATTGGAGAGCCCAGCAGCTTCCGGTTAAGTGCATGACCCCATCTCTCCACACCTTAATTATCCACAGCAGATGAACTTCAGGAGCAGTCAACGTCACAGGAAGAATTAAAACCAGGCACGAGGGTGCACACTTCTAATCCTAGTACTCCGGAGGCAGAAGCAGGAGGTCTCACTGTGAGTTCAGGGCCGTCTCAATCTCTTTTGCAAGGTCCAGGCCAGCTAGGGCTACACAATGAGACATTTGTCCCAAAGAAAACAAAACAACAACAACAAAAGAATTTAAAAGCCAGGTTGTTGGAGTTGAAGCGACTGCTCTTCTAGAAGCCTCGTTTCAATTCCCAGCACCTACTGGTAGCTTTTAACTGTTGAAAAGGCCAGTCCCAGGAGGAACCAACTTCCTCTTCTGGCCCCTGTGGGAACTCCAAGCATGTGGTACAAAAACACATGCATGTAAAACAGCCATTTTATATTTATATAAAGTAAAATGGAAAAAAAAAGTGTACTGCTCTTGCATAGGATCAGAGTTCAGTTCCCAGCATTTAAAATGGGCAGCTCACAACTCGGGCTCTGTGGGGATCTGACACTCCTCAGGCACTTCAATCATATGCACAGACCCATAACACACACGTAAGTACACATAAAAAAATTATTACAAATATTTCATTTTTTTTTAAATATTTCATTTTTTTAAAAAGCCAGGCATGATAGTGAGTGCTTGAGCCCACCCTCAGAAGGCTGAGGCAGGAGAATTGCCACATGTTTGAGGGTAGCCTGGGTTTCAGAGTACCAGGCAGCCAGGGCTGTGTGGTAAGACAATGTCTAAAAGTCAAGAGACTTTAGCAGATTCTTAGGATACTTCAATAATGCACCAGGGAGAGGGAAGTCTTCCTAAGTGTCTCAAGATGACATGTTCTCACCTTGAGAGGAGCTGAGGAAGGACACCTGTGGCAGGTGGCACCGACGAGCATAAGCAGGGAAGGTCCTAACCCTGTGGGTGACAGGATCTCGGCTGTGCTAGGGGAATGGGGGTGTTCAGAGGTGCGTGGGCTGGAGACCTCGGTCTGGCACTTGTGAGTGCGGCCCTGCCTCCAGGTAACCGGGTCATTCCGGAGTCACTGAGGCTCTCCAGGGACAGGGCCTTGAGTGCCGCGCCTCCTGTGCGCATGCGCCCATGGCCCCGGAAGCGATGCGCTCGGCGCCCGCCCCTACGTCCCGGCGGGAGCGGGCAGGGTCGGTGGATGTATGTCCGCCGCTCCGGAGATGGCTTCGGCGGGAGGCGGCAGCTCCGAGAGCGTCGCGCCCGAGGCCGATCGTCCCCAGCCGCGGCCGTTCCTCATCGGCGTGAGCGGCGGCACTGCTAGTGGCAAGGTGAGCGCCCTGCGCCCGGGGCTCGCGGAGGGACTGCCAGGCCGCAGGTTGGGGCGCCATTGCCTCCGGCCCAACCGCGGCACCTGTTGCTAGCAGCCAAGGGACCGCCCCCAGGGGTTGGCGGGTCACTGCACAAGCCCACTTTTGGCACTTTCTGTCCCCAGTCAACAGTGTGTGAGAAGATCATGGAGCTGCTGGGACAGAACGAAGTGGACCGCCGGCAGCGCAAGTTGGTCATCCTGAGCCAGGACTGCTTCTACAAGGTTCTGACGGCCGAGCAGAAGGCCAAGGCTTTGAAGGGACAGTACAATTTTGACCACCCAGGTACATGGAGAATGTCTGCCTGGAGAGGTGGGGATAGAGGATAGACTGCTGCGGGATGTGGGCTTTACAGAGATTCCAGACTGCCAGACACATAACAGAGATGTGTGTGGATGCGGACTGCTGGATCAGGGCTGTAGGAGATGTTTGTGGAATGCAGGCTGCCAGACCAAGGGCACACAGAGATGTTTGCTGGACGCAGCCTGCCACGGGAGGTTGTCCAGGAATATGTATGTAGGATGCAAAGTGCCAGGCTGAGGCTGTCCAGAGAGAACTGCTCAACACCAACTGCCAAGGTGGGGATTGTATTGGAATGCAGCAGCAGTGGAGCTCCGTGAAACTTAACCCTCGTTTCCCTTGGTAGTGGGCCTACATTAGGTTAGGATTTGCTGAATTCTGTGGACCTCGAGTGAATCAAGATTTTGGCTAGAGCCACTTAGGATGAATGAGCCCAGAGGTCTTGAGGATTACTTGTCGATATGTTGAAACCTTGTTGTTGAGGGGCCCTTTTACTGCCTGCCAGACCTTTGGATTCCCCAAGCTGTTTGGGGGCGGTTAGTCTTCAGGGAGGCCAGTTGTACAAACAGAGGTTAATCTGGGACCCAGGACTTGGAGCTTCCTGGTCTGGAGGGTGCCTGTGTTCCTGAAGGTTTAAACTTTCCTAGGGACGCTCTTAACTTTGTTTTCCCAGATACAGTGGAGCAGAAGCTCAAGTCATCTCTTTCCCCTAGTGTCAGCGAATCAGAAAGTCTTGTTTCAGTTTCTGGTGGGACAGCTTTATCCTTTCTCCTGGGGTGTGCTGTGGGGTCCTCAGCACCCTGGCTCCCAGCTGTGCTGACCTTGGGCAGAGGTAGTCCTCCACTGTCTGCTGCACCAGAGCAGCTGGGTAGTCTGGCCCTCTTCTGTCTTTGTAGATGCTTTTGACAATGATCTGATGCACAAGACCCTGAAAAACATTGTCGAAGGCAAAACTGTCGAGGTCCCCACCTATGATTTTGTGACCCACTCAAGGTAAACAGGTAGTTCCTGGGAGGGCTGTCACACCCAGTCCTGTGGTGGGTCCCATCCTAGTCTGTTTCCATGGACTGTCTCCAGTCAGGCCCCTTGTTACTAATGTGGGCCATCAAGCAGGGCCTAGCCTGGCCTCTCCCTGGCAGGTTACCAGAGACCACTGTGGTCTACCCAGCTGATGTGGTTCTGTTCGAGGGCATCTTGGTATTCTACACTCAGGAGATCCGGGACATGTTCCATCTGCGCCTCTTTGTGGACACAGACTCTGATGTTAGGTTGTCTCGAAGAGGTAAGGGCCTCTGGGTCCCTGGCTGGGGTTGAGATTTTTCAGGGTTCCCAAGGAGGGCTTATGGTGGTGCCTTGTTCCTGTTACGACAGTTCTCCGGGATGTGCAGCGAGGGAGGGACCTGGAGCAGATCCTGACACAGTACACCGCCTTTGTGAAACCAGCCTTTGAGGAGTTCTGCCTGCCGGTATTGCCTTTATGTATTCAAAAACAAAAGTGGATGTCAGCTCTGTCCACCTCTCCCTGTCTGCACTGTTTGCCAGTTTGTCTCAGGCTAGACTCCAATGTGCCTGCATGGGCTGTTCCCTTCCAAGTCTGGTCTGTGTGCCTTGCTCACCCCCTTGGGAACTAGGAAAACAGGATCCATAAAGTCCATTGCTACCGCTGAAAGAGCTGCCTTCTGGATGCTGGGATTAAAGTGCACTACCATTGCTGGACCATACTGCCACAGGCCTCTAACACCAGCATTCAGGAGGCAAAGGCAGACTGACTCTGAGTTCTAGACCAGCCTGATCTACAAAGTGAGTTCCAGGACAGCCAGGGCTACACAGAGAAACTCTATCTCAAACTGTTCCCCCCCCAACCCCCCAAAGTGTGCCACTACACCTAGCTAAAAGATTTTTTTCTTTACTACTCATGCACTCTGAAGTTTCTCGAAAGTGTTGCTGTGTGAAATACAGACTGTTGCAGTCTCTTACTTGTGGGCCTTTTGCTGAGTGGGTGGTGAAAGGCAGCAAAACCCCAGGCCTGCATCTGAGCGTGACCTGAAGAGACAGCTGCCTCCTCTGTCCATGATCCTTGTGGACTCAGCTCTTCCCATCCTGCAAGCCAGTCAGCCCCTCCAAAGCATTTCCCAGGCTGGTGGGAAGGGGAATGGGTTTTAGCTCCTTTTCACCTGATGATACTGCCACAGTGAATACTAGCTCAGGTCTGCTCTTGCCTTTCATGGAAAGAGTCTCTACTGCCTTCAGCAACTTGTCTGCCGTGGGACAGGCCTCTTTGACCCACACCCACAGGTTGACAGCATCAGGACCCTTCCTGGGTCTACAGTATGCCCTCACCTTCTCTGGGCTTTGTCTGGTTCAGCCAGATTCCCTCAGCAGCATCTTTCTGTCTGCTCTCCTCAGTTGTGTCTGATGCAGTGTCACTGGCCTAGAACAGCTAAGTCATGAGAGCGGGCCAGGTGCCATGTGTGTCTCCATGCTGTGCAGGGCCAGTTAACAGGCCCTGCCATGCTCACTCCTACAGGACATTTGCAACTTTAGTCCCAATTTCAGAGGCTGGGAACTGTAGGTGGTGTCACACCTACCTGGGCAGCAGGTAGGCTGTAATCAGGCTAGCACAGTGAGGCACTGATGTGCAGGTTCAGGCCAGCTTAATCTTCTCCTTCACTGTCCAGACCCCATCTCTCACCTGTCCGAGGCTGTCCCAACCTGCCAGTGCCACCAACATCCAGGCTTGCATCCCCTGTTCCTGAGTACCTTAAAGTGACCCCAGAGGAGACAGCCTAAAGAGAGCCTTCTGTGTCTTTCAGACCAAGAAGTATGCTGATGTGATCATCCCTCGAGGGGTTGACAATATGGGTAAGAAAACCCCAGCCCCACCCCCACACCATGAAGCAGAGACTGCCCTCTCCTGCCTTGGCTTTGAAAGCCGCCCACGTGTGTGCATGGGGCCTGTTTATCTGGGACGTGGGTTCATGTATACTTTCCAAACACACAGAGCTGCTGGGTGGGGCATGTCAGACTGTTGAGATGTGTTTTTATCAGGCCCAGTCAACATGCGCACTCACAGCAGACCAAGCCATACTGCTCCTGTCCAGTTGGGTGCCTTCTGTCTGCTGAGACATCAGGCCGGCAGATCAGGCCTGCTGTGAGGCCAGAAGGTCCCAGTGGCTTTTCTGCACCATGAGTGTTTTGCAGGATAGTGGGAAGAGGGGGGGTTGTAGGGGTGGTGGGAGCGAGCCTGCTGAGCTGTCCCCATGCCTCATTGCAGTGGCCATCAACCTGATCGTGCAACACATCCAGGACATCCTCAACGGTGACCTGTGCAAGCGGCACCGAGGTGGGCCCAATGGGCGCAACCACAAGAGGACCTTCCCCGAGCCAGGAGATCACCCTGGGGTGTTGGCCACTGGCAAGCGCTCACACCTGGAGTCCAGCAGCAGACCCCACTGAGGAGCAGCCTATGTAGGTTCCCCACAAACCCATGATTAAGGGCCTGGGGACAACCACTGGCTCCTAAAAGCATAGTCAGGGATTGCTCTCAGTGGGATCTAGGGGTGGCATCAGGACCAAAGCCTTCCTTGCATGGGAGGGCAGACTCACGCCTGACAGAGGATTCTGGTGTCCTCTGCTTCCTCTCATTGGAGGCGGCCATGGGTCTCTGGGTCACTGTCCCAAACAGCATAGTAAGCCCATGGTGCCAGTTTCCCGAGAGATGCAAGACACATATTTGGGACAATAGAGGAAACAGCCTGGGCACTGGCTGGCCTGGTGTGACAGTGAGCCCCAGGGAAGTGCTTCCCAGTATGATGTGGTTTGTGGCCATGTTGCAGAAGTTTGCAGAGATGTTAGCTATCCTCGTTTGTTTTGTGGCAGACTGTTTGTGACCTCTGAACCTGATTTTACAACCTACCACTGGGCTACGGTCTAGTCTAAGGAGCCTAAGGCAGGAACCCTAAGGACTACCCACATGACTGTCTGGGGGCCTGGATTGTGGGTAGATGGGAATGGGCCATCAGGTCTCTTGTGGCTAAAACAGCCTCTCCACAGTTCTGCAGGAAGGAGCCCAAGAGGTTGTCTGTGTACAAGTCACTTGGGTACAGTTCATGGCTAGCATGCAGGGCAGGCTCTCTCCAGCCAGGGAGCACTGGAGTGTAGAGGCAGGTGACCGTGGCTGCCCAAAGCCAGCCAGTCTCCTGCACACGGACCTCAAGCTCCCGGCTTCACAAATGCTCCCTTCTGTGTTGTCAAGTTTGTCTTCCCTCCCATGGGACGGCTGTTTTTGGAAGTGTCCTTTGCTATTGCCACAAGCCATGGCACAGGACTTCTCATTTCGTGTTAAATATAACTGTGGTTCTCACGACAGCAGCTGAGCTGTGTTGAGCTCAGGGGCTGGTTTCTGTTAGTGCTGTGCTGGTTTTGTTGAACTGAAACCCCTCTTTGGAGAGAGAATCAATAAATAACATAAAAAATAACAATTTGTCCCTTTTATTTACATTAGGAAAGGCAAATTAAAGGGAAGGAAGTGTATGGACAGACGACATCTTGGCCATGAAGTTAGGTGACTGCATGGTGCAGTCTCCCGGTTTTTAGACTGGATCAGTGAGGAGTCAGTGTGAATGACTGGCAGCTTTCCAAGCAGGCTTTCCAGAGGGCTGCTGTACCTGCACACAATGAGTTGTGGCACTGTGGGCCTCATGAAGGACAGGGCTAAGACCCTATTGGTAGGCCCACAGCTGGGGCGAGCCTAGGGCTCATCGCCAAGTCCGCTCCACTCCTTCATTGGCTGGGTGTGCCTCCTGCCTTGGTGGTTCCTACGCTGGCAGCTCAAACTCTGGCTGGGTCAGAGTTGGGCCTCATGGGTGATGCTGCAGCGGGGCACATTCTTCACTGTGTGAAGAGAAATAAATTGCTTCAAACAAGGAACCAGTGGACAGAGCTCTTGAGGTGAAACTGGAATTAACCTTTGGAGTTCTTCCTGGACCCAGGTAGCTCTGCCTGCTGAGGCCTTTGCTGGTGGGAGACAAACAACTTTGAGGTTTTGTTCTGCGTGCTTGTCTTCCGTGTTCTTGTTCTCTAGTACTTTCGGATCAGAATGTCCCAGCTGTCTTTCCAGCGAAGGGCCCGGAGCTCGCCTGGTGAGAGGGATGTGTCCCCATAGGTTAGTGGGCGTAACATGTTGGACACATGGCATGCGGAGGAATACCATGCTACAACCAGAGCACTGAAGACATTCCTCTGCAACGGGGACCTGTGGGCAGCAGGATGCAGTGAGGTCAGGGTACCTGCCTTATCTCCCCTCAGCATCCCTGCCTGGCCGTCTCCCAGGAATCTACTGTCTGCCTGCTGACACCCACTGACACTGTGGACTGTGTTCCTTAGACTTCCCTGCTTTGGTGCCCCCCCCCCCCACTCCCGACCCTTACCTGCCTGAACATTGTACACAGCCCTCATCACTGCTTCTGGCTTTGCCATGACTACCACAGTGCCAGAGGTGTGTCTCTCACCTCCACATTAAGGTCCTCTGTTCTTTTTTTTTTTTCCCCAAGGTGGGGGGATTTATTCAGGAGATAGGGCAAAGGTGGGGGGAGAGAAATGAGAGAAGATGGCAGAGAGAGGAGAGAAGTGGAGGAAGAAAAGTAGAGGCTGGCCATGACCACGTGGAGAGAGGGGGAAGGGATGGGGGGAGAGGCTAGGGGACAGAGAGAAGCTAGAGGCCAGAGAGCAAGGGCCTCTGTTCTGACCAAAAGCTTTCTATCTGCCACATCCCACCAAGTCTGGGCAGTGAGCCGCCGCTGTCCTGGAATGCTAAGCTCTCGTGGTTTCACAGCCCCAGGCCAACTGTGCCCACACCTGCACAGATGCTCGCTGGCGTGCTGCAGGACAATTGGGAGCAGCAGGATCTGGAAGGTGAGTGCCGGCAAGTAGTGGTAGAGAAACAGCATCCTCTCCATCAGGAAGAAGGGCAGGTAGTTGAATGCCCAACCGCCAGTACACAGGGCTCCAGCCAGCACCCAGTGAGACCAGGCATCTGTGGGAGGGTATATCTCAGAGCAGCACTACCACTGGACTAGCAGTGGGCACGTTCCTAAGTCAAATACTGTCCTCAGCACCTTACCCACCCCCACCCCCAGGACTAAGTGGGCTGATCGATGACACTGGTGATTCCTCCTGGGTCATGACAACCCTTTCTGCAAGGCTCCTGGCTCAGGGTGAGGTCAGACCCAGCCCCACCAGGTCACTGCCAGCCTTAACTAATGACTGCTGTAAGAATTCTGCTGGCAGACCTCAGACTGCTGTGAGAATTCTGCTGGCAGACCTCAGGCGGCCACAAAGATACATTGTATTCAGCCCAGAAGGAAGGGACAATGTTTTGAGATGAACATAGATTACAGGCAAGGCTCCATACTGCTTCAGCCATCTTTGGGGGCTGCTGCTGGCTTTTTCTTTCCAAGTTCATTTCTGTCACCTGCTCACAGTCACTGCCCTTAAGCCTCTTACTGGCCGCTGTGCCTCCTCCACCCCAATGTTTCTGATGCACGTAGGCACCCTAGAAGGATGGCTCTGTCCCATGCCCTGCTCTCTGCTAGTATCTCAACTGTGATGTGGAACTTAACTGCCACAGGTTGTTTTCAGGGTCCCTACCTGTAAAAACAGGGGTCTCAGGGCCTTGGGTCCTAGTAAAGTTGGCTGTCACCTATGCACAGTGTGCTCCCATCCAGGGAGGAGACACTAACCCTCAGGGAGGTCACAGACGCTCCTTCGCCGGCGGAGCAGGTACCAGAGGAAGAGTAGGGTGTAGGCGGCTGTGGCGAGGCTAGCTGAAGTCCAGATCACGACGTTTCCAAGCAAGTGGATCTGAGCCTGAAATCACAGGCAGTCAGGGCTGCTACCCTAGCCCTCACTCCAAGCGGCCACAGGAAAGAACAAATGTACTTTGGCAGAGTCCAAAAGCACACAAGTGTATCTGGACCTCTGTCGCCTGATAACAAGCCTAGATGGACTTGTTCCCAGGCCACTCTTGTAGATAAACACTAATGTTCTCTATCCTGTTTGTTGAAACTGAAAATTCGGAGTAATGGAGATTTGGGGCACTGGGCAGGAATCCAGAGCTCTGTGCATGTTGTGCGCACACTGCCACTCAGATCTATGCACAAGCCTAGTTCATTTGAGATTGTGTCCTAAGCAGCCCAGCCTGGCCTCAAATGTACCATCCTGTCTACCTCCTGAGCTGAGATCACACATGTGTGCCATGCCTGGCGTGGAGTCCCTCCTTTCACAACAGGGTGTCCATAGGAAGGTCCTACCCAGAAAGAGAATCCGTGTTTATACAGCTGTGGGCCAGCCCTGGATTTGCTCAGTTCCACTGGATATGCATGCTGGGGAGGTCTTAAGTGTTTACTCAGTGAGCATGCGCCCAGCATTGCCTCCAGGCAACCCCATGCTGCTTGCTTCCAGTCTGCTGTGGCTAGAGGCAGCAGAACCAGAGCCCGCCAGCTTAGGGGCTGGGTGGTGAAGGGAAATGTAAAATGGTCTGACAGGAATGGGGCAGCACTGGGCTTCCCTCCACAGCACCAGGAGAGGGAGGCGTTGCTCTTTGGCAATGAGTAGGCCAGGCTTTAGACTGCCCAGTATCCAAACAAAAGCAAGTACTGAGCCTTTGCCAGTCACCTACAGGAGCTCAGCCAGACTCACACATGCTCGCTTACACTGGTCCTGGGATGCAGCCAATAGGCGATGTTGGTGTCCAGTGTGAGCCACTCCAGTGGGGTGGAGCTGTACTGGTGTTCTAAGTCCTCGTTCTTCAGTGTCAGCATCTTCCACTGCCACAGAATAAAGCACATACAGGTTGCAGAAGATGATCACTGTCTCCAGCTGCCAGTGTCACGGTGTATCATTAAATGCTATCCCTTGTATGTCAACTGCCCAGACCAAGTTCAATCAGCAAGTGCTGCATACCTGCCTTGAAAAGCTAACCTGGGCTGTTGGCTTGGGGGTCCTGACTTCATGGATTCCAGCATCTACCCTGCAAACTGGGACAGGAATTGTGCCATGGACTTGAGTGTCTACCTGACTTACCTAGGGCTCTGCTAGTTGAATGTGGCCCATTCTGACCTGATGGGAGGCCTGAAGACACCCTGACTTTATTGCAATGTTACACAGGTACAGGACCTACTAAGTGCAGGTCCATGGGGCCTGGAGCCGGGAGAGATAATCATTCTGCTGCAGAGTCTCAAGTTCCAGGTCCAAGGACTTTGAATTTCAGAGCTTAACAGCACACTGTGCCTTCATGGGCAGAAATCAGCTCCCACTGAGCAAGGACGGGCGTCCCTCCTGTCACTTGATACCTGTAATTCTGAGAATCTGGCCATGAAGCTGAGGTTCTTGCTGATATCAAGCTGAGTGGGTGAGTGGAGCTCCAGCTCCCTCTCCTTCTGCTCATGGCCTGAGTGGACAAGGAGGAGACACTGAGGAGCTGAGGACAGAAGTTGCCACCAGCCTTTCCTGTAATCCAGGAGAACACTTCACCAAACCACATCATCCCACATGGTTCCCACATCCCAAACTCCTCTGCCAAGTCAGCACTAGCATACCCTGGGATGCAGTATTTGCCATTCCCCCAGCCTCCCCCACAGTCCCTCAGCACGAATGCCTTATGTATTACTCATGGATCAGTGCAAAGGACTCAGCCAAATAAAATGGGGGAACCTAGGCCCCTCCAAGTCACGTGTTGCTAGATCCACAGAGACAAGCAGATGCCTGACCAGAGCTTTAATGACTTACTTTTGCCATAGCGGTGTTCTTCCACATTCCACACCATGCTCTCATGGTAGCCTAGTGACAACTTCTCCCCAACCACCTCCAACTGCCGAAACCCCCAGTCAGGGAGGTGAGCCCCGCTCAGCTAGCAAAACCAAGAAAGACAATGAGCATGACAGAGTTAGCTACCTCCCCCTCCCCGCCCCCTCCCCCACCCCTACCCCCCAACAAACTGATTGTCAGCAGATCCCTGCCCTAGGTCTTCCTAGGATCCTTTTCCCCCTGCGTGTACTATAAAACACAGGGTGACTTTCATCACATGGCGGCTATGTGAGCACCTGCCCGAACAGCTCCAGGAATAGTCTGGGACAGGCATATTGGGAGCTAGCTACCCTTTACCTTCAAGATGGCAGACGTGTTCACATGCACAAAGCGCACTTCCGACAAGATAGTCTTCCAGGTGTCCTGGTTGGACTCTCTGTTTACAATATCCTGCAGAAACAGATCCTGTCAGCTGAGGGGCATGGAGGGCTAGCAGTGGAGAACTTGCCCAGCATTTGTGAGGCCCTAGGTTGCATTCCCAGTACCACAAACCAGTACAAACCTAAACATGTCTAGTCAGTTTCACGTCTCTCTGCAGACTGTGTTAAATAGCAACCTAACGACCAGACACCCATGGCTTCTGGGCCTTTTGCCTGAGATAAGTGAAGAGGAC